CCTGCAGCAGGTTCTTGGTCTTACACCTCCTCCTCCTCCCTTAGAGGGTCCGCAGCCTGTCCGGTCACAGCCACAGCTACAGCCTGCCTCCCCTTTGCCTGCTCCTTCTCCCTACGCTGGTCCGACTGGAGGTCTTACTGAGCGTCGTGAGCCTGCGTCTCGTCCTGTGTCGCCTGTTCGTACTGAGCGCGCTAGTGGTCGCGGGTCGCGTCAGCATCCTCCTCCTGTCCCTGGCACGCACCGGATGTCACTGCGTCCGTCCACTGCTCCTCTGCGTGCCCCTTTGCCTTCTCCTCCTGCTTCCTCTCTTCCTGCTCTTGCCGACCCGGAGTCGGACGCTCTTCGTGCTGCCAGTCCTACTGTCACGCGTCTCCTGGCTACTGCTGTCACTAACCCCTCCTTCGAGTCGTCTGCTGCGTCTGCCCTTGTCACTGAGCTTGTCGACTTTGCTGCGCGCTGTCGTCTAGACTACGCTGCTCGTCTTGTCACTGAGTCTGAGTCCGCCTGTCCTCCGTCCGTCGGGGGTGAGTGTGCCCTTGGCACGGACGTCCTTGAGGACAGGCAGGAGGAGTTCCAGTGTCTGGCCGCCGCTTCACCTCGTCTCGCGTCTGTACTGCTAGCCCCTGAGGGAGACCCGGATGCACCAGACATCCCGACTCCGCGCTCTTACGCGGAGGCGATAGAGGGTCCCTACTCCTCTCAGTGGCAGGCAGCTATGGATGCAGAGATGGCTTCCTGGAAGTCCACAGGCACCTACGTTGACGCTGTTCCCCCTCCTGGGGCAAACATCGTCAGTGGCATGTGGATTTTCAGGGTGAAGCGGCCGCCGGGTTCTCCGCCTGTCTTCAAGGCGCGTTACGTGGCTCGTGGCTTCAGTCAGCGGCAGGGGGTTGACTACTTTCAGACCTTCTCCCCCACCCCGAAGATGACCACTCTTCGGGTTCTGCTACACGTTGCTGCTCACCGTGACTACGAGCTGCACTCTCTCGACTTCAGCACAGCTTTCTTGCAGGGCAGCCTGCACGAGGAGATCTGGCTGCGTCGCCCACCTGGCTTCACTGGGTCTTTCCCTCCTGGTACCCAGTGGAGTCTCCGGCGTCCAGTCTACGGTCTCCGCCAGGCGCCACGTGAGTGGCACGACACACTGAGGACTACGCTCGCGGCACTTGGGTTTGCTCCTTCCACTGCCGACCCGTCGTGTTTCTGCGCACCGACACCTCTCTGCCGCCGTTCTACATCCTCGTGTACGTCGACGACTTGGTCTTTGCCACAGTTGACACTGCTGGACTCGCCTACGTGAAGTCCGAGCTGCAGAAGAGACACACGTGCACTGACCTGGGTGAACTGCGCAGCTACCTTGGCTTGCAGATCACTCGGGACAGAGCACGCCGCACCATTACCCTGACTCAGTCACACATGGTGCAGCAGGTCCTTCAGCGCTTCGGCTTCACGTACTCCTCGCCTCAGGCCACTCCTCTGCCTACTCGCCACTCGCTCTCAGCTCTGCCTTCGGATGAGTCCGTAGAGTCGAGTGGCCCGTTTGCAGAGCTTGTTGGCTGCCTCATGTACCTGATGACCTGCACACGACCTGACCTCGCATACCCTCTTAGCATTCTCGCACGCTTTGTTGCTCCTGGGAGACACCGACCAGAGCACATGGCTGCAGCGAAGAGGGTGTTGCGCTACTTGTGCAGTACGTCGGGCATGGGGCTAGTGCTTGGAGGGCGCAGTCCAGTGGTCCTCACTGGGCACGCAGACGCTTCTTGGGCTGACGACCAGGCTACGCAGCGGTCGTCACAGGGTTACACCTTCAGCCTTGGTTCCGGCTCTGTCTCGTGGCGGGCTACCCGCTCGTCTTCTGTTCTCGGCTCCAGTTGTGAGGCTGAGATCTACGATGGGGCTATGGCTGCACAGGAGTTACGCTGGCTCACCTACCTGCTGACCGACCTTGGAGAGCAGCCTCGTTCTCCTCCAGTCCTGTACGTAGACAACAAGGCCATGCTGGCCTTGTGTCGAGAGCAGCGACTGGAGCACAGAACGAAGCACATTGCTCTTCGCTATTTTCTTGCTCGTGAGCTACAGCAGCGTGGACAGCTGCGACTTGCGTACGTGGCCTCTGAGGCCAACACTGCTGATGTCTTCACCAAGGCACTTGCGCCTTGTGATCATCAGCGTTGCTGCACGCAGTTGGGTCTTGTGCCTGTCTTGCCTCACTTGCTCTCCTCTTGACCTTGCTTGTACTTTCGCATATATATACTCTTGCTCTTGTATATCTCTATATATGATCTTGCATGTGAACTGGCCTTGTGGCCTTTGAACTTGTGCTCGGAATGCGTGGTGACTTTGTGATCCACCCTGAGCTTTGCTTTGCTTTGCTTGACCGGTCTTGTGACCCCTTGTTCTCCCCCACTTTGCCTATGGGGGTGTGTCAGAACTTATAGCTTACTTGTTTCTGTAGGCTATAGTGGGGTATCCCATAGGGGGTACAACCCAATTAGGGTTTCCTATTTGTACTCACTTCGTTCATAGTCATTCCTCTTCTCGTTCGTACTTTCTCACGGCATGCTCCACCCACCTCCGGCACCACTTGACTTTCTCCTCGTACAATGGCCTGTTGTAGTCGGGTTTGCTGCTCAGCTTCCCGTCGGCGGTCTTCTCCAAGATCGGGTATTCCAACTGCAATGAACGATTATGGCAATAAGATTCTGGACAGGATGGAACAAAAAAAACAAAATCTGAATCAAGGGGCTTGTACTTACAGCGAACAATGCAAACGCAATCTGGCGGGTCTTCCATACCCCCAGTGCCATGCCCGATCTCACGAATGCAGCGAAAATTCCCGCACTGAAGATTTCCTTTGTAAAAGGCCACTTCGTGTTGTCGTCTACGTGCCAGCCCGGTCCCCACTCTTCTGTAAAGTTGAAAAATGGAGTTCAGGAAAGGGTGAGTAAGGCAGGGGCGGGACAGAGACGGGGGGAAAGGAGCAGGTTAGGCACGTTATACGCCCTGCAGTGGCTCTGCCAGGCAGAGAGTAAGGCAGGGGCGAGGCGGAGATGGGGGGAAAGGAGCAGGTTAGGCACCTTCTACGCTCTGCAGTGGTCCTGCCAGGCAGAGAGTAAGGCAGGGGCGAGACGGAGATGGGGGGAAAATAGCATTTTAGGCGCTGCCGTGCCTTGCAGTGGCTCTGCCAGGCAGAGAGTAAGGCAGGGGGGATAATGGAGATGGGGGGAAAGGAGCAGGTTAGGATCTTTCGTGCCTTGCAGTGGCTCTGCCAGGCAGAGAGTAAGGCCTGGGCGAGACGGAGATGGGGGGAAAGGAGCGGGTTAGAATCTTCCGTGCCTTGCAGTGGCTCTGCCAGGCAGAGAGTAAGGCAGGGGGATAACGGAGATGGGGGAAAGGGAGCAGGCTAGGCACCTTCTACGCCCTACAGTGGTTCTGCCAGGCAGAGAGTAAGGCAGGGGCGAGACGGAGATGGGGGGAAATAGCATTTTAGGCGCTGCCGTGCCTTGCAGTGGCTCTGCCAGGCAGAGAGTAAGGCAGGGGCGAGACGGAGATGGGGGGAAAGGAGCAGGTTAGAATTTTCCGTGCCTTGCAGTGGCTCTGCCAGGCAGAGAGTAAGGCAGGGGGATAACGGAGATGGGGGGAAAGGAGCAGGTTAGGCACCTTCTACGCCCTGCAGTGTTTCTGCCAGGCAGAGAGTAAGGCAGGGGCGAGACGGAGATGGGGGGAAATGCGCAGGTTAGAACCTTCCGTGCCTTGCTGTGGCTCTGCCAGGCAGAGAGTAAGGCAGGGGGGATAACGGAGATGGGGGGAAAGGAGCAGGTTAGGATCTTTCGTGCCTTGCAGTGGCTCTGCCAGGCAGAGAGTAAGGCAGGGGGATAACGGAGATGGGGGAAAGGGAGCAGGTTAGGCACCTTCTACGCCCTACAGTGGTTCTGCCAGGCAGAGAGTAAGGCAGGGGCGAGACGGAGATGGGGGGAAAGGAGCGGGTTAGAATCTTCCGTGCCTTGCAGTGGCTCTGCCAGGCAGAGAGTAAGGCAGGGGGATAACGGAGATGAGGGAAAGGGAGCAGGTTGGGAACCTTCTACGCCCTACAGTGGTTCTGCCAGGCAGAGAGTAAGGCAGGGGCGAGACGGAGATGGGGGGAAATAGCATTTTAGGCGCTGCCGTGCCTTGCAGTGGCTCTGCCAGGCAGAGAGTAAGGCATGGGCGAGACGGAGATGGGGGGAAAGGAGCAGGTTAGAATTTTCCGTGCCTTGCAGTGGCTCTGGCAGGCAGAGAGTAAGGCAGGGGGATAACGGAGATGGGGGGAAAGGAGCAGGTTAGGCACCTTCTACGCCCTGCAGTGGTTCTGCCAGGCAGAGAGTAAGGCAGGGGCGAGACGGAGATGGGGGGAAAATAGCATTTTAGGCGCTGCCGTGCCTTGCAGTGGCTCTGCCAGGCAGAGAGTAAGGCAGGGGCGAGACGGAGATGGGGGGAAAGGAGCAGGTTAGGCACCTTCTACGCCCTGCATTGTTTCTGCCAGGCAGAGAGTAAGGCAGGGGCGAGACGGAGATGGGGGGAAAATAGCATTTTAGGCGCTGCCGTGCCTTGCAGTGGCTCTGCCAGGCAGAGAGTAAGGCAGGGGGATAACGGAGATGGGGGGAAAGGAGCAGGTTATAATCTTCCGTGCCTCGCAGTAGCTCTGCCAGGCAGAGAGTAAGGCAGGGGGATAACGGAGATGGGGGGAAAGGAGCAGGTTAGGCACCTTCTACGCCCTGCATTGTTTCTGCCAGGCAGAGAGTAAGGCAGGGGCGAGACGGAGATGGGGGGAAAATAGCATTTTAGGCGCTGCCGTGCCTTGCAGTGGCTCTGCCAGGCAGAGAGTAAGGCAGGGGGATAACGGAGATGGGGGGAAAGGAGCAGGTTATAATCTTCCGTGCCTCGCAGTAGCTCTGCCAGGCAGAGAGTAAGGCAGGGGGATAACGGAGATGGGGGGAAAGGAGCAGTTTAGGCACCTTCTACGCCCTGCAGTGTTTCTGCCAGGCAGAGAGTAAGGCAGGGGCAAGACGGAGATGGGGGGAAAATAGCATTTTAGGCGCTGCCGTGCCTTGCAGTGGCTCTGCCAGGCAGAGAGTAAGGCAGGGGGGATAACGGAGATGGGGGGAAAGGAGCAGGTTAGTATCTTCCGTGCCTTGCAGTGGCTCTGCCAGGCAGAGAGTAAGGCAGGGGGGATAACGGAGATGGGGGGAAAGGAGCAGGTTAGTATCTTCCGTGCCTTGCAGTGGCTCTGCCAGGCAGAGAGTAAGGCAGGGGGATAACGGAGATGGGGGGAAAGGAGCAGGTTAGTATCTTCCGTGCCTTGCAGTGGCTCTGCCAGGCAGAGAGTAAGGCAGGGGGATAACGGAGATGGGGGGAAAGGAGCAGGTTAGGCACCTTCTACGCCCTGCAGTGTTTCTGCCAGGCAGAGCGTAAGGCAGGGGCGAGACGGAGATGGGGGGAAAATAGCATTTTAGGCGCTGCCATGCCTTGCATTGGCTCTGCCATGCAGAGAGTAAGGCAGGGGCGAGACGAAGATGGGGGGAAAGAAGCAGGTTAGAATTACTCTCGTCCTTGCAGTGTCTCCGCCAGGCAGAGAGTAAGGCAGGGGCGAGACGGAGATGGGAGGAAACTCTAAGATCCTATACATGGCTGCTTACTCACCGTTCCCATAGCCGATCAACAGCTCGGCGTCGTCAAGCTCCTTGGGGTCCTCGAGAGGATCGTGGTCGTTTCTTCTCTTGATGCCCAGTGCTACAAGCACCTTCTTGCGAAGCCTTTTGGCGATGAGGCATCGAGTGTTCGTGTAAGTGTTGGAGACCGTTCTCAGGCTTCGCTTGCATCGGAAAGTCCACAAAATCTCCAGGTGTGGAGCAGCTGCCGGTGACATCATCCTTTTTAATCCAATCAGGGTTTCGTTGTCGTTTGGGTAAAACTGGATGCCGTTTGCGCTGTTTGTCCAGAAGAAACACGTCGTCAGCTTGCTGCAAAATTTCTGCCATGGAAGCAAGGTGATGCGCGGGTATGTAAACGTTATAAGGAGGTTTGAAGTCACAACGTCCACGACACACAAAAAAACCGGCACACCGGAACAGTTAGAGTTTGGAGTACACTTGGGTTTAGAAAAGATGCGCATTCCGCATGACTCACCTGCCAGCCCCCGGTTTCCGCGTTGATGAAGTCGCGGGCAATTTCCTCCGGGGACTTCACACGCACCGGCTCCTTCACCGGTTCATCCTGAGTTCCGCCACCCTCCCCGTTGGCATCATGCCTGTCACATCCGGCACACCGCCTGCAGAGCTGCCCTAGCAGCTCATCCCGTAGTGCATGCAGATCAGCCATTGTTGCATATGTATTGTGTGCAACTTTTTCACTTACAGACGCGACAGCACGCGGCCTGAGCATCCCGGCACCGATTCCTGGCCTTGGCACAGCAACCGGTCTCTGTGAACCAGTTGATGCTGCTGCATCGGGTCCGCGAGAACCAGAAGATCGGCCAGAAGGTGCTGCACCGCGTGCCAAACCATTCATACCACCCCCGCTGGCATTGGATTGGGATCTATCACCCATGTTCGACCCTCCAGGTTGTGCCCCTGCACGACCACCACCAGCTGATGCCATGGGACCCCATCCTCTCTGCGTATGAGTGGGCTGCCCAGTGCTGCCCCCTGCACTGTTAACCCTTTGGGTGCCCCGTCCACGCCCGACTGAGACCGGGGAGTTGGGTGAGACTACGGGGGCCAGACCTGGGATCATACGGCTTCCATGTCCTGCCGAAGTAGATGGTGCAGGTTGCCCTGCTCCTCCTAATCCCAGTCTGTACGACGCAACCCCGCCTCGGCTTGCGCCACCTGCACTGAGCATGTGAGCCCGTGGTAACCCTGACATCGTTGCCCTACCTCCCCCGCCGTTGCTCATTCCAGGACATGCAGGTGCAGGGGCTGAAGTGGCCGGGTGGGCATTGCCTGTGCGTTGAGACGCGTAGGCACTGCCGACTCGCCCTCCTGACAGGTTGATTCGCGGTGGACCAGCAGCAGTCCCTGAACGATTGGAGTGTGCCAACCCCATGTTCAGTGGGGCTGCTGCAGCTACTGGCCGATGTCCTCCCGTTCCCACCACCGGCTGATGTGTTGGGACCACTGCTGGAGCACGTGAGATGTGCTGTTGCTGGAAAATACCTTGAAACTGCTGTCCAGGTGCAGACGCCCCCAATTGAACATGGCATATTTCCATGGGCGGGCCAACACCCGTATTCGCGATGTTAACTGCCATGCCACGAACATAGGCAACACGGGAAAAGGGTCATTTTGCGTAGGGCGCATGGAGAAAGGGGATGGGGCGAGCAGAGAGTGTGAGAGCGTGTGTGCTCGCGCAAATAGTGCACCGGCATGCTCATCTTGCAACGCTACGTTCATGTGCGTGAGCGGACCAAGGCTACCATTGACTCTCTTACCATAACAAGCAGCATGGTGATGGCCACTCATGCCAAATTTTGCCTACCTGCTGCTCCCCTACCTCTCCCCCGTCCCGTGCCAGCAGCTCGGCCTCTGCCACCACCAGCTCCTTGTCCGCCACCCCGATTGCCGCCTCGCCCTCCCCCTCTCCCTTCGACGCGTTCTCCACCCGTCCCATCGCCACGACCTCCCCGACCTCCGGCCCTCCCTCCTCCTCTCTCTCCGCCTCTCCCTCGGCCTCTCCCTCTCCCTCGTCCTCCTCCCCTCCCTTCGCCCATCCCTTCGCCTATCCCATCGCCCAAGCCTCCGGCCAGGCCACCATCTCGCCATCCCCCCCGACCACCGCCACGTTCTTTCACGCGCTCACCTCCGCGCTCACATCCGCGCTCACCTCCGCGCTCATCTCCGTGGCCCACACCTCGCCCTCTGCCTCGCCCCACTCCACGCGCTTGCCGGGGTTGCTCTGGTATTTCTTCTTCGCGGCCACGTTTCCTCGCAGCACGTTTGGCGTTCTGCAGCATGCTTCCACGTCCCGCTGCAGGAGGCGCATTCAGCATCGCCATTGCTCTCGCCTTACCCCGCTCCAACGCTCTTTGCTCCTCAACATCCTCATCCATTGTCGACGCCTGGCTCTGTTGTGTGGCCATTGCTTGCGCTCCAGGGTACATGATATTCTCAATGTCGTCATCATCTTCAGCCCCATGACTGTGCGGCTGGGTAGGTTCGCCACCTTCTCCGCCGTCGCCTGCAGCGCCGTTCTCTTCATCGCATTGGTCTTCCTCTCCCGCAACTCCATCTCCCCCCTCGCCCGCATATCCTTCCCCCTCCTCTCCCGCAACTCCTTCCCCCCCCTCGCGCGCATATCCTTCCTCCTCCTCTCCCGCAATTCCATCCCCCCCCTCGCCCGCATATCCTTCCCCCTCCTCTCCCGCATCTCCATCCCCCCCCTCGCCCGCATATCCTTCCCCCTCCTCTCCCGCAACTCCATCCCCCCCCTCGCCCGCATATCCTTCCCCCTCCTCTCCCGCATCTCCATCCCCCCCCTCGCCCGCATATCCTTCCTCCTCCTCTCCCGCAACTCCATCCCCCCTCTCGCCCGCATATCCTTCCCCCGCATCTCCGTCCCCCCCCTCTCCCGCATATCCTTCCCCCTCCTCTCCCTCACCTCCATCCCCCCCCTCTCCTGCGTTGCCTTCCCCCAATTCCGCCTGATTCTGCACCCCGTCCCCTGCGTACGCATTTCCATCTTCCCCAGCGTATCCTTCACCCGCATCTGCAAATGCCGCCACCCCGTCCTCCGCAAACCCTTCTTCCCCTTCTGGGCCATTCCCCATACCCGCTCCCATCGCGTAAGCGTCTTCCGCTCCTCCCTCTTGCCAATTTTCCTCCTCTTCCGCAAACCCCTCCCCTCCTTCCATTTCTTGTCCGAACTCCTCTCCTTCCTGATTAATGTACCCTGCACCTTGCCCCTCTTTGCCTCCTCCCCCCGCGTACGCGTTGCCTTCCCCATCGTACCCTTGCCCTTTTTCTGCGTACCCTTCCTCACCCCCGTCCTCGTAGTCGCCACCATCACCCATTGTGACGGACGCCTCGTAGGCAATACACGAGCCGGTTGGTTAGCGTCAGCGAGGGATTTTCTTAACCCTGATCTCTGACGCCCATGGATGAAACACGGGAAATCGTAGCTCACGGTAAAACAGTGGTGAAGGCGACGTAGGCTGACTGCAGGTGCAGAGCAACTATGGCAGATTGGCAAGAGAGGGAAGGGATCGGTGCCAGCAAGCTAGCTTGGTGGAGGAGAGAGGGACTACAGTACGTAGCTGCTCAGCTAGGGTCGTTCGAGCTTCGTTGCTGGGGTCTTCCAACGTCTTGGCTGTACAGTGATGCCATTTGGGGTCTCCAACCAGCTGGCTCAAGCAGATGTCAACAGTAGCGATGCCAGCAATCCAAACACGACCACTTGCGTTTCGGTGTGACAACATTTTCCGGCGGGTAGGAAATCGTCGGACTCACCTAAACAAAGCATATTTTTCGATGAGAGAGACTATTCAGTCTCCCACGGACACCCAACGTTCCTACGTGTACGAACTAATCTCTTAAATACCGTGTGCGGGCAGAGCAAGCTTGCCATAAAAGAGGGGAGAGGTTGCAAACCGTCGATAGAACAGGTTTTTGCTGGTCGCAAAAGCTTCGAGAAGGAAGCCAGGCAGCTCACAATCGCCACTTTGGTTCTTCAGTGTTTGTAGTGACTTGCAACTGACGGTGGCGTGAGCGGTGAGGCTTGAACGGTTGCGGGCAAATGGCACTGTACGTGTACATGAACTGTTCACAGGATGCGATGCAGTCTAAGGACAATGCTGCCAGGTGAGCCAAGTCTGGCGTGGCAGTATCGCCTAGGCGCAATCGGCTCTGTATGAAAGTGGTGCACAGTGGGGAATACATTCTCAAACATATTCTTGCCTATAATCCATACTTGTTGAAAAAAGTTTACATGGTTAACGAGCAAAGTATTGCTCACTTGCAAAGCTAGGTATGCATTAAGGGGTGTCCTTTGAAAGTACGCTAAGGCATGCAGGGCGGTGAAACAACGGAAATATGAGCACAGCATAGTGCATGAACTACTGTCCTGTTCGAAGCAGCAAGGTGTTTGAAGGGTATAAGGTGCAGAAAAGGTATTCAAATGCAAAGAAGGACATGAGGTGTAGCCAAGAATATGAGGTGCATGGAAGGATATGCGGTGCAGTGAAGGATAAGAGGTACAGAGATTGATGTGAGGTGAACGTGAGAATGCAAGGTGCAGAGAGTGATGTTAGGTGAGCGTGAGGATGTGAGGTGCAGAGATTGATGTGAGGTGGACGTGAGGATGTGAGGTGCAGAGTTTGATGTGAGGTGAACGTGAGGATGTGAGGTGCAGAGTTTGATGTGAGGTGAACGTGAGGATGTGAGGTGCAGAGATTGGTGTGAGGTGAACGTGTGGATGTGAGGTGCAGAGATTGATGTGAGGTGAACGTGAGGATGCGAGGCGCAGAGACTGATGTGAGGTGAACGTGGGGATGTGAGGTGCAGAGACTGATGTGAGGTGAACGTGAGGATGTGAGGTGCAGAGATTAATGTGAGGTGAACGTGAGGATGTGAGGTGCAGAGATTGATGTGAGGTGAACGTGAGGATGCGAGGCGCAGAGACTGATGTGAGGTGAACGTGAGGATGTGAGGTGCAGAGATTGATGTGAGGTGAACGTGAGGATGCAAGGTGCAGAGAGTGATGTTAGGTGAGCGTGAGGATGTGAGGTGCAGAGATTGATGTGAGGTGGACGTGAGGATGTGAGGTGCAGAGTTTGATGTGAGGTGAACGTGAGGATGTGAGGTGCAGAGTTTGATGTGAGGTGAACGTGAGGATGTGAGGTGCAGAGATTGGTGTGAGGTGAACGTGTGGATGTGAGGTGCAGAGATTGATGTGAGGTGAACGTGAGGATGCGAGGCGCAGAGACTGATGTGAGGTGAACGTGAGGATGTGAGGTGCAGAGACTGATGTGAGGTGAACGTGAGGATGTGTGGTGCAGAGATTAATGTGAGGTGAACGTGAGGATGTGAGGTGCAGAGATTGATGTGAGGTGAACGTGAGGATGCGAGGCGCAGAGACTGATGTGAGGTGAACGTGAGGATGTGAGGTGCAGAGACTGATGTGAGGTGAACGTGAGGATGTGAGGTGCAGAGACTGATGTGAGGTGAACGTGAGGATGTGTGGTGCAGAGATTAATGTGAGGTGAACGTGAGGATGTGAGGTGCAGAGATTGATGTGAGGTGAACGTGAGGATGCGAGGCGCAGAGACTGATGTGAGGTGAACGTGAGGATGTGAGGTTCAGGGACTGATGTGAGGTGAACGTGAGGATGTGAGGTGCAGAGATTGATGCGAGGTGAACGTGAGGATGTAAGGTGCAGAGATTGATGTGCGGTGAACGTGAGGATGTGAGGTGCAGAGATTGGTGTGAGGTGAACGTGAGGATGTGAGGTGCAGAGATTGATGTGAGGTGAACGTGAGGATGCGAGGCGCAGATACTGATGTGAGGTGAACGTGAGGATGTGAGGTGCAGAGACTGATGTGAGGTGAACGTGAGGATGTGTGGTGCAGAGATTAATGTGAGGTGAACGTGAGGATGTGAGGTGCAGAGATTGATGTGAGGTGAACGTGAGGATGCGAGGCGCAGATACTGATGTGAGGTGAACGTGAGGATGTGAGGTGCAGAGACTGATGTGAGGTGAACGTGAGGATGTGTGGTGCAGAGATTAATGTGAGGTGAACGTGAGGATGTGAGGTGCAGAGATTGATGTGAGGTGAACGTGAGGATGCGAGGTGCAGAGACTGATGTGAGGTAAACGTGTGGATGTGAGGAGCAGAGACTGATGTGAGGTGAACGTGAGGATGTGAGGTGCAGAGATTAATGTGAGGTGAACGTGAGGATGTGAGGTGCAGAGATTGATGTGAGGTGAACGTGAGGATGTGAGGTGCAGAGACTGATGTGAGGTAAACGTGAGGATGTGAGGAGCAGAGACTGATGTGAGGTGAACGTGAGGATGTGAGGTGCAGAGATTGATGTGAGGTGAACGTGAGGATGTAAGGTGCAGAGATTGACGTGCGGTGAACGTGAGGATTGGAGTTTGGAGGGGAGGTGAGGAGGGAGCAGTTGTGCTAATGGATGCAGAGAAGGAGATGAGGGGGTGGCCGAGAGTGGGTGATGTGAACATAGGACACCGCAATATCATTGACGCACAGCACTCAATACTCGTTAGCCAAGGTTTATACAAGCAAGCTCATGCGTGACAGACGCAAAGATATACTAGTCAAACAGTTCCTTGATACCATAAAGCATATCATCCCAGATGCCCAGTTCGCGATTGTGCAGCGGATCCGGATCCAAAACACCTTGGCGCCACACCTCCCTGAAAAGGTCGTGATGCCACTGTGCTCTGGAAACATCATGCCGCCACACCTCCCTGAGTCGATCCTGCCGCCAAACGTCTCTGTCCGCCGGACGGGCCCTACACTTCGCTGCTCGCCGGCTGCGGACAGGATAATCCGCCACATACAAAAATAACGGATGGTTAACACCGGCGGCCGGAATATAAACGGAAGGGACCGTGTCCATGGATGGAGCCGTACAGCAAGCTGGTGTGTGCAGAAAGTCTGCAAAGTGTGTGAATGGGAGAACAGTGGGGGAGCATGGGATTAGCTGGACGTTGAACACTAGAGATTGTGGGATTGCCAATAAGGGAGGAGCACGGGAGAGAGCGATCAGCGGAGGACAGCGAGAAAAGGCAAGCGTGCGCCATCTCATGGAGCACAAGCGCGCAACACGGGAGAGAGAAATAGCGCACGATGGTGAGAAGAGGGTTTGCATGCATAAATGAAACGAGCCGTGTGAGAGCCGACATAAAGCAAGGGAGAGAGCTGACATGCAGCGAGGGAGAGAGCTGCCATGCAGCAAGGGGCTGGAGCTGAAATGCAGTATGATAGAGAGACTACTTTCAGCAACGTAGAGAGCTGACATGCAGCAAGGGAGAGAGCTGACATGCAGCAAGGGAGAGAGCTCAAACGCAGCAGGGGAGAGAGCGTAGGCGCAACACGGGTGTAAGCGGAACTGCAGCACGAGAGGGAGCCAAGGTCAGAGGCGAGCATTCCACGTTGTGATGGCACGTGCACGAATTTCCTGAGGTCTGCGGAGAGGTGGGTAACCGAGCTCGGCGGGGATTCCGCATCGCGAGGGTGAGGCAAGATGCGGGAGAGAATGAGCTCACCAAAAGGCTGCCCGACGTCGACTGACGGTGCGCTATCCCGCGGCGCGCAGGGGAGCAAGAGACGAGGACTCTACTTTCGCGCTAGATATCCAAAAAAAAGGTGAGGGGATATCTGCGCAAACAACTGAGGGATCGCAACATCATCATGGGAGAGAATGAACAGCAACAACGGAGGGTGCACGAAAGAAGAACCGTCGTTAGCGGAGTAGAGGCAAGGTATCGGATGGAGAAGCGACGAGGCAGAGGCATTTGTGGTAATGCCGCGACGGGGAGAATGTTAAGTGGATGGGAAGGGTGATTGGTGAGGTGAGCAGATGAGAAATGTTAGATTGTGTGCGGAAGGAGAGTGCAGTTGGTTGCTGAGTGACGATGTGGGCAGAATCATGGCGATTCCGCATCGCGAGGGGATGCAGTAAGCGAGGGGAGTGTAGGAGCTCACTAAAATGCAGCGAGACACCTATCGCCACTTCACGATACCGCGGCGCGCCAGGATGATACTTTTTTACGCTTGACGATGCCCTGATCTCTGGAGCAGAGGGACGCGCAGCAACGGCGCAGCTACACGCGGGATATAGCGGGAGCGTTGCCTAATCGCGTGGCTGGAGAGAATAGATCCGTAAGAAGAGGTTTCCAGACAGTGATGAGTACCGTGCTTTGACAGACTGTAAGCTTCGAACGTCGAAGAACAAGTCTGATGCATTCTAAATTCACCCAGCGTGGGCCGGGGGTGGGGCCTGCGAGGCACTGAAGTGCTATGGTGCGTTGCTTGGCCGTTGAGGGGTGGGGGGAAACTGACACCCGTTTGACGCGATTGGTCACTGATTTCCCGCCGCACGTACTTTTCACACCACCTATCGCAGCGTTTGCTTTGTGGAGTTGGGTCGGGCGGTGCCCATTACAAGCATCGGTGGATTCCGTATTATTTATGTGGTGAGGGTTTTTGTAATGAGAACAATTATCTGTACTCCAACGCCTGCATCACTTATTAACAAGATATACCCAGCCGTGAACGATACTAGTAATTCGAGTGACACAGCATCGCGGATAAAACGTTCCCGCGCCGCCATCTCGCATACATGGTGCTTTACTCACAAGGGCGACTTCGAATTTCAAACGCGTAAATCGAAATGTAGGTTCAAACGATGTCGTCGCGTTGCGCGTCGTGCTGCCGCGTCACCTACCATCACCCTCTCGTTAATTGTATGATGCGTAGGGCGAGGCTAGATTCTGGCGGATGTGCCTTATAGAACTCACTCCTCGTTTTCTAGTCTCCTGGCTTGTCAATATTGACTCATAGCCTTCCACTCACCAGCACCACGTTTTCTATACACGCATAATCACCCGTGATACTCGCTTAGCTCGTCTGGCTACGAAGAAATATGGCACTCGCGCTTCACCGAGATGACTAACGGAGGCTCTTCGCGCTAGAACCTGTGAACAAGCACCAGGAACTCGTGTCATGAGGCCGTCTAGGGGTTCACGCGACGGACCGCCATAGGTAGAATGAATCCCAACAGAATTCGTTGCATATTTTGCAAAGAGTGGTTTCGAAGTGCGCAAGTCTTTGGCCAGCACAAGGCCTGGGCCCGAACGTGCCGTGAGAAATATGCTGCACGGCAGTGTGGTAGGCCGTCCGCACAAGAACATGTTGTTCTTGTCACCTCGCCCGTCCCTGATGCGAGAAATCATGCGGATCAGGAAGCGGCCACTAACGTGCGTGAGGATCACGTAGTCGAGCAAGACGCGGGGGATAACTCTGCTGGCAGCAACTCCTCCTGTTCCTTCCCTGAGCATGAGCTGCCATCTGGGCCCACGAACGAGGATACTGCAGCGTCATCTCCGGGTACCACTAACTGCAGAAATGCTGACCCACCCCCTTCCATCCCAACGAGCTTTGGGAGGCCCCCGCCCACCAATCCTGCAGCCCTCCGTTTCCTGCATTTTGTGCGGAAAGCCAACAGCCGCCTCGGTTTGGCAGAGACTGACATCAACGCCCTGCTGCAGCTTCTTATGGTTCCCGAGCTTGCACATAAGGTACTCGAGGAGTACACCAACTGCCGGGAGCTCGAGCGATTCGAGCTTAGCCAACTGCGAGGGCTAGGCCGTGGGTACTCCACTGTAACCTTCAAGGTCGCGGGCTTCCCAGCACAGACGCTGTTTTTCCGCAACTCATTGCAGGTCCGTGTGGTGACTGTTCCTTACCTTTTTGTGCTTCCGATGCAAGTAGCAATGTGATGCGAATATGATACTCCCTCTACTTTCTGCCTCGCAGGCGCTTGCCGACCTGTTTGGGGATCCCCGCAATGCACCGGGGTTCGTTCTGAAACCGCGGGAGGACTATGACCCTGAAACCATGGAGAGGAGGTACACCACGCCGGAGACGGGGACATGGTGGCATGAGGCGCAGGTGAGATTGCAACTCGGCCCGATTAATGGTGTGCTCACCACTCTCTCTGCCATCCCATGTGCTCACCACTCTCTCTGCCATCTCATGTGCTCACCACTCTCTCTGCCATCTCATGTGCTCACCACTCTCTCTGCCATCTCATGTGCTCACCACTCTCTCTGCCATCCCATGTGCTCACCTCTCTCTCTGCCATCTCATGTGCTCACCAATCTCTCTTTGCCAGCTCATGTGCTCACCACTCTCTCTGCCATCTCATGTGCTCACCACTCTCTCTGCCATCTCATGTGCTCACCACTCTCTCTGCCATCTCATTTGCTCACCACTCTCTCTGCCATCCCATGTGCTCACCACTCTCTCTTTGCCAGCTCATGTGCTCACCACTCTCTCTGCCATCTCATGTGCTCTGAACTCTCTCTGCCATCTCATGTGCTCACCACTCTCTCTGCCATCTCATGTGCTCACCACTCTCTCTGCCATCTCATGTGCTCACCACTCTCTCTGCCATCTCATGTGCTCTAAACTCTCTCTGCCATCTCATGTGCTCACCACTCTTTCTGCCATCCCATGTGCTCACCTCTCTCTCTGCCATCTCATGTGCTCACCACTCTCTCTGCCATCGCATGTGCTCACCACTCTCTCTGCCACCATCTCATGTGCTCACCACTCTCTCTGCCATCCCATGTGCTCACCTCTCTCTCTGCCATCTCATGTGCTCACCAATCTCTCTTTGCCAGCTCATGTGCTCACCACTCTCTCTGCCATCTCATGTGCTCACCACTCTCTCTGCCATCTCATTTGCTCACCACTCTCTCTGCCATCACATGTGCTCACCACTCTCTCTGCCATCTCATGTGCTCTAAACTCTCTCTGCCATCTCATGTGCGCACCACTCTCTCTGCCATCTCATGTGCTCACCACTCTCTCTGCCATCTCATGTGCTCACCTCTCTCTCTGCCATCTCATGTGCTCACCACTCTCTCTGCCATCTCATGTGCTCTAAACTCTCTCTGCCATCTCATGTGCTCACCACTCTTTCTGCCATCCCATGTGCTCACCTCTCTCTCTGCCATCTCATGTGCTCACCACTCTTTCTGCCATCCCATGTGCTCACCTCTCTCTCTTCCATCTCATGTGCTCACCACTCTCTCTGCCATCGCATGTGCTCACCACTCTCTCTGCCACCATCTCATGTGCTCACCACTCTCTCTGCCATCCCATGTGCTCACCTCTCTCTCTGCCATCTCATGTGCTCACCAATCTCTCTTTGCCAGCTCATGTGCTCACCACTCTCTCTGCCATCTCATGTGCTCACCACTCTCTCTGCCATCTCATTTGCTCACCACTCTCTCTGCCATCACATGTGCTCACCACTCTCTCCGCCATCTCATGTGCTCTAAACTCTCTCTGCCATCTCATGTGCGCACCACTCTCTCTGCCATCTCATGTGCTCACCACTCTCTCTGCCATCTCATGTGCTCACCTCTCTCTCTGCCATCTCATGTGCTCACCACTCTCTCTGCCATCTCATGTGCTCTAAACTCTCTCTGCCATCTCATGTGCTCACCACTCTTTCTGCCATCCCATGTGCTCACCTCTCTCTCTGCCATCTCATGTGCTCACCACTCTCTCTGCCATCGCATGTGCTCACCACTCTCTCTGCCACCATCTCATGTGCTCACCACTCTCTCTGCCATCCCATGTGCTCACCTCTCTCTCTGCCATCTCATGTGCTCACCACTCTCTCTGCCATCCCATGTGCTCACCTCTCTCTCTGCCATCTCATGTGCTCACCACTCTCTCTGCCAGCTCATGTGCTCACCACTACCTTTTGCTACACGATTATTTTCGCATCCCTATTTTTGGTTCTCTGTACCTTCAACGTCAGGCGGAGCTTGGACCAGACGTGGTTATTGCTGGGATAATTTTGTACAGTGACGTCACACACCTCAGCAACAACGGCAAGAAGAAGGCACATCCGGTGATGATGAGCATCGTCAACATCTCACAAGGCAAGCGCTGGGCATCTTCTGGCCATGTGCTCTTGGGGAATCTCCCCATACCACCGGCTGGCATGAGCTCCGCACAAAGCACGGAGTTGTTTCACAAAGCCGTTGAGCTCATGCTACAACCCATCCTTGATGGCTTAAAAAGGTAATGTTTGCAAATCGAACCCCGATTGCCTCTCGCAATTTGCACGTAACCTATTCTCGTTGTCCTTGAACGAACTCGCTGCCCACAATGCCGTTGTCATGCGGAGGTAATTCCAAGCTCCGTTCCGTCACACTCACCAAGTATCAAACACTCCAGTGCACACGTTCTCAGAGCCGCGTTTGGTCCCTTTCAATGCAGTGGCTTCATGATGAAGGACCCAAATGGCGTTGAGCACCATGTGATACCCATCTTGTACGCGTGGGTGTGTGATTTTCCTGAGAGCTGCAAAATTACATGCACGCTTTCTGGTGCTACCAATCGGCCGTGCAGCATATGCTATGCTCACAAGGTATGTGGCACCTTGTTTAGGCGATCTACCATCAGTCAAACTAGTACCCAATGACATCTAAATCGCTTATGTTAGTCTTGGCGGGGTTTTGTAGTCAATGGTGCTCCCTCTCGTTCGTGCAGGATCACTTGTGTGATGTGTCAGCCCAAAACGTCGCACGCACTCCAGTGCAACAGCGTTGGATCAAGGGAAACTGGTACAAGATGGTACAAGTGCAGCCGCGGAAAACACTTGGGATGGAATATTTGACGTTCGACGTGGATGTAAGTGTGACGAACGACAAGTTATGAACGGCCCCACATATTTGCCATCCACTTATAAGCCATCCTCTCTGCCATCTCATGTGCTCACCACTCTCTCTGCCATCACATGTGCTCACCACTCTCTCTGTCATCCCATGTGCTCACCTCTCTCTCTGCCATCTCATGTGCTCACCAATCTCTCTTTGCCAGCTCATGTGCTCACCACTCTCTCTGCCATCTCATGTGCTCACCACTCTCTCTGCCATCTCATTTGCTCACCACTCTCTCTGCCATCCCATGTGCTCACCACTCTCTCTTTGCCAGCTCATGTGCTCACCACTCTCTCTGCCATCTCATGTGCTCTAAACTCTCTCTGCCATCTCATGTGCTCACCACTCTCTCTGCCATCTCATGTGCTCACCACTCTCTCTGCCATCTCATGTGCTCACCACTCTCTCTGCCATCTCATGTGCTCTAAACTCTCTCTGCCATCTCATGTGCTCACCACTCTTTCTGCCATCCCATGTGCTCACCTCTCTCTCTGCCATCTCATGTGCTCACCACTCTCTCTGCCATCGCATGTGCTCACCACTCTCTCTGCCACCATCTCATGTGCTCACCACTCTCTCTGCCATCCCATGTGCTCACCTCTCTCTCTGCCATCTCATGTGCTCACCAATCTCTCTTTGCCAGCTCATGTGCTCACCACTCTCTCTGCCATCTCATGTGCTCACCACTCTCTCTGCCATCTCATGTGCTCACCACTCTCTCTGCCATCTCATTTGCTCACCACTCTCTCTGCCATCCCATGTGCTCACCACTCTCTCTTTGCCAGCTCATGTGCTCACCACTCTCTCTGCCATCTCATGTGCTCTGAACTCTCTCTGCCATCTCATGTGCTCACCACTCTCTCTGCCATCTCATGTGCTCACCACTCTCTCTGCCATCTCATGTGCTCACCACTCTCTCTGCCATCTCATGTGCTCTAAACTCTCTCTGCCATCTCATGTGCTCACCACTCTTTCTGCCATCCCATGTGCTCACCTCTCTCTCTGCCATCTCATGTGCTCACCACTCTCTCTGCCATCGCATGTGCTCACCACTCTCTCTGCCACCATCTCATGTGCTCACCACTCTCTCTGCCATCCCATGTGCTCACCTCTCTCTCTGCCATCTCATGTGCTCACCAATCTCTCTTTGCCAGCTCATGTGCTCACCACTCTCTCTGCCATCTCATGTGTTCACCACTCTCTCTGCCATCTCATTTGCTCAGCACTCTCTCTGCCATCTCATGTGCTCACCACCCTATCTGCCATATCATGCCTACCCGTCCCCTTCCCCTCCCCTCCAATGCGCCCCCCCTCCTATCATCAATGTTGTAACACTTTGCCTTTGCTTGCAGTCGTCCTTGTGGCTGTGGGATGTTTGGGGGAAACCGTGGGGAAATCCTTACCTCGTCATCATGCCCGACATAATGCACCAAGCGGACCTTGGGATTCTCCATCACATAGTTGCTGCGATCCGCTTCAACTACGAAAAGTTGCTGCCATTGTTTGACAGGTTGGATTTGGTGGTTGTGAGATGGCATGTGGTCGAATATGCATGGCTATACGACACGGCGATCATTGATTTTACATGTTGTTGTGCCAGTGGATCGTCGTTGGTAATGTACCGTGTTTTCACCAGGCGGAATGTCATTTTGTCATGTTCAGGCGTTTGAAGGACCTGAGAGAAATCATTCGCATGACTCATGTACGGCTACCAAATTCCTCGTACTTCGTGTCAGATGCACAGGTGGCGGCCTTTGAGCATCGGTCTGTCCTGCAGGCAAGTGTCACTAATCTGGGCACAATTTATAGTCTTATGCTCCCCACCCCGTTCTTAACTCATACCACGTTGACCTTAAACACCTACACACCACACGCCCCCTTACACAACTCATGGTTTGCGAGATTCACGTTTGATGTAACCTGGACTGTATATTACCTTCCCTGAGTCCACAGGTGCTGATTTTTGTGGTTGCGGACAAGCTCGGGGACCTCCAGCTGAGCGCCATTCGAGCATACCTCGAATGGTATCACTATTGTGCAAGGCTCCCCGGGCACACAGAGAGCACCCTTCAGCGTCTGCAGGAGTTGACCGACGAGTGAGCCCTCGCCTTCCACCCATTCGTGCATATCATTGTGCCCACCCTTGGCTGTTTCGATCCATCTCGTAGACACGCTGCCCCCCTTTTGCTTTTGGCCCGTCATGGTTCGGGGCTTAATTTACATCCCTTCAATGAACACAGCCGCTACTAGGGCATATTTCTTCCTGCCACATGGACGAGTGGCAAAACTGAGGAGGGCAGGAAGGGCACCTCCCTGCGCGGCACTTTGTCATGCTTCTGACCTCCCCACACGTACTCGCAAGTCAGCCCCTTGTATGCCCTTCTTTCCCTGCTAATAACAGGTAGGGGCAGAGGGGAGTAGGGTGAGAGAGGCAGAGGTGTGTGTGGAGCTTTGATATGCTCATCTTGCATCACTCTAGGCTGCTACACTTACCAGCCCCTTATGTGCCATTCACCCCATTCACTCCACACCGTATATGAACAGTCTTGTGGCAAAGTTGCAAGATGCGTTTCCAACGCAAAAATCGGCATGGTGCATCATCAAGACTCACCTCCTCTCGCATTATGTTCCCGCCATTCGAAGGGCGGGTCATGTGTCGGAATTCTCGACAAACATGTGGGAGCACTTGCACGGTCCTCTTTTGAAGAGAATATACCGCAGATCCAACAAACGCAACGCAGACGCACAAATCATGAAGCATCATGAGAAAAGTGCGGCTTTCATCACGCTTGAGGACGAGGAAGGGGTTCGGTATACGATAATGCAGCAGGTAACTAGATCATTCGAAGCTGCGTTTTGAATCAAACCTCTCTTTATGCTATGGGGTGATTTGAGTTCAATGTCTCTGCCCTCTCATGCCACCATCAACAAGTTTTATCCCTCTCATGCCATCCTAAACCTGATTCTTCCACCCCATGCCATCATCGTCCTCTCCACCCTCGGATGCCTTTCTCAACATCCCTGCCCTACCATGCCATCATCAACATCCCTGCCCTCACATGCCATCATCAACATCTTTGCCATCCCATGCCATCATCAACATCTAAGCCCTACCATGTCATCATCAACATCCTTGCCCCCCCATGCCATCGACAAATCTGCACTCCCATGCCATCATCAACATCTTTGCCATCCCATGCGCATCATCAAAATCCCTCCCCGCTCATGCCATCATCACCATCTCTGCCCTTCCATGCCTCCTTCAATCTCCATGCCATCCCATGCCATCATCATCCTCTCCACCCTCTGATGCCTTTCTCAACATCCTTGCCCTACCATGCCATCATCAACATCCCTGCCCTCCCATGCCATCAACATATCTGCCCTCCCATGCCATCATCAACATCCCTGCCCTCCCATGCATCATCAACATATCTGCCCTCCCATGCCATCATCAACATCCCTGCCCTCCCATGCCATCATCAACATATCTGCCCTCCCATGCCATCATCAACATCCCTGCCCTCCCATGCCATCATCAACATATCTGCCCTCCCATACCATCATCAACATCCCTGCCCTCCCATGCCATCATCATCATATCTGCCCTCCCATGCCATCATCAACATCTTCGCCATCCCATGCCATCATCAACATCCCTGCCCTACCATGCCATCATCAACATCCATGCCCTCCCATGCCATCATCAACATATCTGCCCTCCCATGCCATCATCAACATCCCTGCCCTCCCATGCCATCATCGACATATCTGCCCTCCCATGCCATCATCAAAATCTTTGCCATCCCATGCCATCATCAAAATCCCTGCCCGCTCATGCCATCATCGCCATCTCTGCCCTTCCACGCCTCCATCAATCTCCATGCCATCCCATGCCATCATCATCCTCTCCACCCTCTGATGCCTTTCTCAACATCACTGCCATCCCATGGCATCATCATCCTCTCCACCGTCTGATGCCTTTCTCAACATCACTGCCATCCCATGCCTTCACACACACTTCTTGCCCCTATTGAGTTCATTCCATTCGCATTCCTGGCGGTAATTTCCCTCCCCTTCTAAACTCACCCATAGGCAATGGACTCGGGGCGGCCAGTCTTGACTAGAGAATCAGAAGCACTTGCTGTTTCTCCGGCAAGTGACCCGACATCGGCCAAATTCTTTGCATCACGGTGGTCGCAGCAGCACCAGCATGCACACAGAGCTCTGACTGATGCCCTTGCAGATTACGGCATTACCTCGCAAACCATTCAAGTATGTAGTGATGGTGTTGATAGCCTTGCTGTCTCTTGCCATTCCCCCACGTGCCTTCCCTTCCCTTCCCCCCCCCCTCTCTCTCTCCCTCTCTCTCTCTCTCTCTCTCTCTCTCTCTCTCTCTCTCTCTCTCTCTCTCTCTCTCTCTCTCTCTCTCTCTCTCGCCATCCTATGCCCTCTCAACTATTCTTACCATGCGAGTTGTACGTACATATACTTATGCCAACTGTGTGGTGTTGTGGCAGACACATACAACATTGGCAGTGCCAGCATCCAATGCATCAAACGCCTCAAGAGTTGCTCATTTTGTGAGAGCAACTCCCGAGTGCCACAAGAGGCCCTGGTTTTCAGACATCGCTGTTTGCTGTGAAGGGGGGACTGTGGCCTACGCAAAGCTGTTGTTGTTGTTTCATTGTTTCCAAGGTGGGCAGCGCCATGAACTTGCATACGTCGATTATTACAGGACATTGGGCAATGACCCAAGGACTGGATGTGTGCGCCTGGGTCAGTATACCCCTCGCGCATTCATCGTTATCCCTATCGATTCTATTCTAGGCCATGTTCATGTAGTGAAGTCCTTTGATGGGGATGAAGGTGATGTATACTATATGAATAAATATATAATGTAGATTTTATTATAATGACAAGAATGATGTTGCTTCTTTTGTCCTTTTGCTAAAACATGGCTCTTTAAAAAACAAAACCCTCAAACCTTCATATTTGCAACTACAGTATGGCCCCGGATATAGGCGCCGGCCTATTACAGGCGCCGGCGCTTCTATCTGGAGCATGGCGCTTATGGCCGATTCTCGATTATAAGCGCCACCCCTTTTGTACCCTTCCTTATTATAAGCGCCACCCTCAATATTAACATTTGTGTTACCTCCACAACAAAAACAAACAACTGTAACATCGTTCGCTTCAACGAATACTACAAATTGGTACACAAATTTAGACTTAATCTGCTATTCTACCTAGGTGCTAGTACCGGAACTACTCCTCGTCAGACTCGGGCTCCTGGCAGTTGTTGCCAAAGAACCCGTCGGCGATGATGCCGTCGTCTACATCCACTTCCGCCGTCCATTGGCTCCGCCTGTGCGCCATGGCGAGGTGGTCCTCACTGCCGTCAAGCGCGTTGCTAATGCCGCAGGTGAGGAAGGCGCGCTTGACGAGGTCGGAGGGTACTGCTTTCCAGGCTTGTGAAATCCATTTTCAAGACCACTTCTGGGGGGGGAATCTTCAGAGTCCCTGCACCGCAACAGAGACACCCGCGAAAGCCATGTCAGTGACCAAGGGTGAAAGGTGGATAAAGATGCGTGTTTAACGGAAACAACGTACCTGCAGCTGTCAGTTGCTCTTGGCCCTCCTCCTCAAACCACTTCTGGTACTGCTGACGAACAGATGCTTTGAAGCTCTTGTTGATGGAGACGTCGAGTGGCTGAACCTCACCCTTACAACCCGACGGGATGACAGCAGGCACGCAGTGTGAAAGTAATTAGGAAGAGTTAGGCTTAGGAGCCTTGGTGATTGAGTTCGAGTAAGTTTAGGTAAGTCGAGAAAGTTGAAAAGAGAAGTGAGGGGTTTCACTATAGAGCGAGGAGTACAAATAGGCAAGAAGGAAAGGTGCACCACCAAACAGAACATCATATAACTACAGTAGTCTA